CTCTCGGAGGACAAAAATCAAATATATTGATTGCCTGTGGAAAAGAAGACTGAGTAGCTGAGGAGATAGGGATGAGAAGGAGATTTTTTGCTATACACCCTTTAATACTTAAAAAAAAACTTCCCTGAACCATGTAAATACATTACTTATTCAAAAAAACTGTAGAAAATGCGGGCAATAAAGAGAAGTATAAGTATGAAGATAGAAATCTCCTATAATTCTACCTGTGTTAAAAGACTTTGATGGATTTCCTTTTAGCTTTCTATGGAGGCTTATATATGTTAGAACCAAAAATTCTTTTTTTTTTTTTTTAAAGATTTTTATTTATTTATTTGAGAGAGAGACAGTGAGAGACAGCATGAGCTAGGAGAAGGTCAGAGAGAGAAGCAGACTCCCCGCGGAGCTGGGAGCCTGACGCGGGACTCGATCCTGGGACTCCAGGATCATGACCCGAGCCGAAGGCAGTCGTCCAACCAACTGAGCCACCCAGGCGTCCCAGAACCAAAAATTCTTTCACAAAGTTTGGATCAATCTGTATAAAGTTTAAGAAACTACACTTCACATTTAACATTATATTGAAATATTTTCAAAGTCACTAAAATTCTTCTAAAACCATTAAATATTGATAATACTCCCTCATAAGGACATATGATTCATTTATTTATTTATTTAAGCATAAGGATATAATTTATTTAAGCATTATATAATTCTAAAACACTTGTTTTTAATTTTTCATTATTGCAAATGTCTCAGGGATAATTTCCTCGGCATAAATCTTTGGGTTTGTTTTTTTTTCCCCTTAAGAGAGGAGTCAGGGTTATTTTAAATACTAAAAGGAAAATGAAAAGAGTGTAAACCAGAAGAATTACTCATATTCATGTTCAGTCAGTAAATTAACTGACAACAGACATTAACTTCTTAGTGAATTCTAGTCAAACTACTAGACTACATTAATAACTAATACTCTAAAAGTCACTGACCACTTCATTACAGACACAGTATTTTAATAATAAAATTTAACTTTGAAATACTGGAAAAATGGAATAGTACCAAATACTAAAAACAGAAGAGAGAAGTAGAAATTAGATGGCTGAGTTAAAAGGAAAACTTAGGCAAAATTTGACTGAAATCTTCAAATAATAGTCACTGTTTTGTTAAAAGTACAATAAAATTTTGGGAGACAATTAGGGTTTCAATTTTATATTTTATCAAAGTTTTGATTGCACAGCTCAGTGTAACGGTTCTAAACATAGTACTTGGCACCACTGTGCTTTATCACTGAGTTGCCACTACTTTGATACACACCCTGACCAAAATGTTGCTTTTATTTTAAAGATTTATTTTTACTTATTTTGCATCCCCTATTTTTTTATTGAAATTCAATAATTAACATATAATGTATTATTGGTTTCAGAGGTAGAGGTCAGTGATTCATTAGTCTTATATACTACCCAGGGCTCATTACATCACGCGCTGCCCTCCTAAAGATTCATTTGGGAGAGAGCACATGCGCACGCATGCACAGGATTGGAGGAAGGAAGGGAGAGAGAAAATCTCAACCAGACTCCCCAGTGAGTTTGTAGCCCAAGGTGGGGCTCAGTTTCACAACCCGAGATCATGACCTGAGCCAAAATCATGAGTCAGATGCTTAACTAACTGAGGTCCCCAGGAGTCCCCCAAATATCATTTTCTTTAGCCAATTTAATGTGGTTATTAAATCCTTGTCATCTTGTACTTTGCTTTCTTTCCCTCCTTTCTCAGGTATATCCTTTGTAACGAGTATTTTTCTATCTAGACAATTCACATGAAGACAGTGTTGGTCTGACTTGAGGGACAGAATTAACACCCTTCTTGCAGGGTAATTATGTTGAATTAGCTTTTTACTAAATGCAGTTATAATGTTCAGAAGATATGTGACCTGAACACATACACAAATCCATTTAACAATGAACTACGGTGGTTCTGTTTAAATCTACTGAATAGGATTAATTTGAGATCTATCCCTTCATGTTATAGAGCAGTTAACCTTAGCAGAGAAACAGAATACAAGGGTTGATAAAAGATTTCCAGGGCATATATGCAGAAAAAGGATCATGCCTCTTAGAAAACAAATTACAAGCTACCAAATCTTATTAGTCAGCAACTTGAATTTTTACAAAAGATGCAACACCTACAAAGCCACAAAAAAAGACTGGATGCAGAGTGCCTGGGTGGCTCAGTTGGTTAAGCGTCTGGTCTGCCTTCAGCTCCTATCAAGATCTCAGGGGGTTCCCTGGGGACCCTGGTGGGTTTCCTGCTCAGAGGGGAATCTGCTTCTCCCTCTGCCCCTCCCTCTGCTTGTGTGTACCTGCGCTCTCTCTAACAAATAAATAAAATCTTAAAAAAAAAAAAAAAAAAAGACTGTATGCACTTTTGGATATGGTTTCCAGAGGGAAAGCTAAGACTTAATCCAGACTCACAAAGAGTGTTTTTTCAGACACAGTTAACACACCTGGCAGCCTGGTTCTTTATAATAAGCCTTGCCTTTCCTAAACCCTTTCTCCCGTCTTCGAAAAAAGACCTTAATAGCTGCAACATTTAAGGATTATTTAGCTATGTGAAACTGTATGTTTTGCCTCTTGGAGATCTCTACTAGAACTTGTGTCCCTCATTCTAGTTAAAGACCTTGTGCATAAAAAAAACAGCCAAAACGAACCGCACATAAGCAAAGAAGATAAAAAAAGGAAAGCAACACTAAACAATGGCCCCAGCAATTCAGCTCCAGCAATGCTTAGACTTTAACTATATTGCTATGCCAATAAGAACACTAGTTTTTAACCTTGAGCTATGAGGTCTGAAAAAATGATGTTTATATGGCACTGCAGAGAAGCATTTTAAATGAATCACAGGGGAAGAAAAAGATTGGCCAGCCAAGATAGAGTGAGCCATCTAAAGCCTATTTCTCCTCTCATTACACAAAAACTCAGAGTATTTTTTAAAAGCTTCCTGCGTAATCTGAAAAGTAAACAATAGCAGGTAGATTGAGGACTGAGGTCACACCATGAAACAGGTGAATTTCAGAGTTTGTTTTTGTTGTTTTGTTATTCCCTTATTTGTCTCCAGCTTTGATCCAAGGCCTAATCCTGAAACTGCAGAGTGGGCTCAGACAGCAAAAACTCCATAAGACACCCCCTATCTCTATCCAGAAGACTAGGGAAAGGGAGCCCTGTGAATACCAGAAAGTGTGAAAGGAAATCTCTGGGTTTTATTTGTTTTCTCTCTTTAGCCTTAGAAATATACTGCTATCAATCACGGCAATTTGGGCACTTAAAATCCAAGACAAAACCTGCCTCTCTTGCCAGAGGAACTACATGCTCAAGAGTATGGAGAGCATCTCTCTTATTTTCTTCTCTCTTAACACTTTTCCCTGGAGGTGGCCTTAGTTGCAAGGGACTGTTGTGAAGTAAGAAAGCTCAGAGAAATGTCTTTCTGGTCATATGAACCAGCATGTGGATATGACTGTGGTGGTTGTTTTAAGACTCAATGTATTCGCCAGAAATGCTCCCTGTACACCAACAGCAAATATTACTGTGTGTATATATAAATGAGCGAAAACCTGGGTATCATCATCTCTGCTCTAAATAATTCCAACTTTAACCTGGAAGTTTGCTAGAAATGCAGAATTTCAGATCCCACCATAGAACTCCTGAGTTGGACTCCACATTTTAATGGGATTCAGAAGTGACTTTATAAGGGCATTAAAATTTAAAAAGCTCTGCTCTAGGGTATGCTTGAGTGAACAAAAATCTGATTATGCTTCTCTTCCACTTAACATTTTACAAACACACTCACAGGATATATGAGACTTTATATTACCTCACCCTACCTTCCTCTCCAGGCTCATCTTCCATCACTCCCCATCTCACCATTTAACACTTCACTTCAGTAAGAATGAACTATTTGTACATTACAGCACACAACACAATGCTATGTCCCCCCACCATTACCCATGCATTTCCCTCAGCCTAGAACACCTCTTCTTCATCTGCCTAATTCTTTTTTTTTTTTTTTTTAAAGATTTTATTTATTTATTTGACAGAGAGAGATCACAAGTAGACAGAGAGGCAGGCAGAGAGAGAGAGAGAGAGAGAGAGAGAGAGGGAAGCAGGCTCCCTGCTGAGCAGAGAGCCCGACGCGGGACTCGATCCCAGGACCCTGAGATCATGACCTGAGCCTAAGGCAGCGGCTTAACCCACTGAGCCACCCAGGCGCCCCCATCTGCCTAATTCTTAACCCACCTTAAAGCCTCTATTCGTAAGTCAACCCCACCAATCTCTAAAGACTACCTGGGATCCTAAACCAGCCAAAGCATACTTCCATCCCTGGATTATCGCATTTTATTTCAATTACCTGGTTATTTAAAAAAAATTAATTATCTATTTATGCGACCTCCCTCACCTGTAGGTTTCTCAAAGGCAATGGCCTCATCTCTTATATAGTTCCTCTGGATGGAGCACAGAGAACTAGAGATGTTCAAGGTTTTAATAAACTGAACTATCATCTTTTTTTATTCTTAAAAAGTATTAGTTTCCAGTTTAGCAGTAAATGGTTCCCCCATCACACATTCTTTTCCTGAAATTTTAACCATCTCCTAGATCAGCACTTCCAGTTGCTTAAGCAAAATGCATTTCAGAAATTTAGACCCAAAACTTGTTTGCCGGTACAAAAGGACTTGGACTCAGGCTAAGTTTGTTTCTGTTTGTTCCTGCTTTTTCCTCTTTTTAGATGCCACAAAGCCATCTACCAGAAAGCTCATTTTGTCCTAAACTGGAGGCTGAGGGGGACTGTGTTTTGTTTACAAGTTCTTAGCTCAGGCCTAGCTGCCTCACAAGACTCGAATTCCGCCTGCCATTGTACATTCATCTGGTAATTTCTACGCAAATCTCCGAGGGCCACCCCACTGCCATTACCCAGCAGAATGGCGGGCTCACTGTCCAAGGGCTGGCGCTAACTGTGGTCACCTTCTCCAGGGAAGCTCCTCTTCATCCAAGTCGCTCTCCGTCACCGACTCGTCAATCATCGTTTCATCGCTGTCCCAGTCTGGGGTCTGGGCGCCTTCCTCCATCTTCGCTTCGCACCCGGAACCTTTTTTATCCTCCTCCAACGCCCCGCTTCCAGCGAAAGGAAAGGGCACTCTGAGGGTCTGGGGAAACTGTGATTGAAAAACGAAATTCGAGGCGGGAGGCGGGCCTGGTACAGAAGGCTGAGGGCACAGAATTGCAGCGACGGTCGTCGTCGGGGACTCGGTCCCGCTTGCCCCCGTCACGGTACGCCTCCGGCAGGGGGAGCCGCGCGCCACACGTCGCACGGCGCAGCCGCGTGCGGCCCCGCCCCATGACGCCGGTGGCCGGAAGTGACTGGCGGAGCGCCGACTCGCTTAGGGTTTCCCCGCCGCCTGGGGCGTGGTCCCTGCTGCATTCGCTTTCTGAGCGTTCTTGCAGATTGGTTCGCTGGACCGAGTGACTGCGATTGCAGTCGTAGGGACCAGAGAGACAGCGGTGCCACAGACAAGACCGCAGTCCGAGCCTGCCTAACGCCATCGGAGGAGGGAGACTTAGGTCATCTTACCTGCAGTGCGCCTCGTGCTTGTGAGACCCAGACCTGGAAAGAACTGTCAGCTCCTGCCTGATCCAGTAGCCCCCCACTGTCAGTCTGACATTCTGAAGCCAGAATGTTACCTAACACCAGAAGTGTTTGTTGCAGTCCACCAAGTGCTGCCTTTCTCTTTAATTCCTTTGACACCCCCTCCTCGAGTGTCCTTTGAGGTAGGCAAGACAAATACGTTTATCCTAAGTTTATAGATCATCAACCCATCTAACTGATGTATTTTTTATTTGTATTTTTCCCTCATTAACTCTTGAATTGCCTTGAAATACAGGTTGTTGTAGGAAAAGGAGAATAAATGCTTTTTTTCTATATAAATTTTTAGAATGATAGTGTCTAGCAACATCCAAAAATAGCCAATTACGACTTTTGAATGAAGAACTAGAGGTGTATATATTTGATGTGTTTCAGTGAATTTGAAAGTTTTTAATTCAAACATCCAAAACAAAACCAAGTGAACTCCATTTGCCAAGAGAGGTAGTTTAAGAATGAGAACCCGGTCCCCCTATCAAGTGTTATTATTCACTTTGAAATCTCCAGCAGCTAGCAGTGTTGGGTCTTTAAAAGTTTGTTGAATAAACGGATGGAACTAGGATTTTCTGACTCCCCACTTCACTGCTCTTTTCTTTACATGCAGTGGCTTTTTCATTCTTATTATCTTACTATTTGGATTATATTTAAGCCACTACTGTTTAAAACACTTGGTTGGTGATTTTCTTTTAAATTTGTTTGATTATTCCTCATTTCCACTCTTGTAAATGGGGTGGAACAGTAATGAATATGCACAGAACTAAATCTCTCCGTGTTTTTCACACCTCTCCACCTACATCCTCCATGTTTAAATCATTCCCCAAATTCCCATCCACTCTCCTGCTCACGTACTCCTTTGATCATCTAATTCTGTTTCCACTTTAAAAGTGTTAAGTAATTGCCAGCAATGGAAAGTGCATATCCATTAAAAGTCTGGTGGGTGGCTCTAAATGCCCTATACCAGAAGGCGACTTTGCACTAATAAAAGATTTGCTCCAGGCGTCTGGTAACTCTAGCTAAGTATAGAAACTCCGAAGTCTGAAATTCAGATTCCTTTTTAAAATACTTTCTCCTTTGGTGGATAAGAGTCAGTTATTTTTGCATCTTTAGTTCTTTTATTTTATTCAAGAGAGTTGCCAAGATTCACAGCATAAAGAAGAAATAGCAAAGATGATCCGAATAAACGCCAGCATGATTTTAAAAGAAACTTTCTTTGTTTTTATAAAATTCAAAGTTTCACTGCAGGACAGTGATAGAACAATGACTGATCTTTGTTAGAAATCTAGGTTGCAAATGACAAGAAAAAAAATACAATTCAAACCGATTTAAGCAGGTAAAATGGGTGAGTGGGGTATATAATTGAACCATCTGTAAGTACCAAGGCCTTTCAGATATGATATGACCTGGATACTCAACACTGAGAGGAAATTTAGCTCAGCTTTCTTTTGAATTCATTAGTTTAGTTAAACACTCAGATAAATTGAAACACATCAAACGTATAAAAATCCACCTCTTCATTTTAAAATAATAATTGGTAATTTAGAAGATTGACAGGTACCATTTTACTATTTTTAAAATTAATAAAGGGTGGGAAATAAAGCATTTATCCTGATGTTTCTATACAATCAGTATTTCAAGGTGACCAAAGAGTTTTGATTAGGGAAAATTTTCTTTTTCTTTTCTTTTTTTTTTTTTAAAGATTTTATTTATTTATTTGACAGAGAGATAGAGATCACAAGTAGGCAGAGAGGCAGGCAGAGGGAGAAGGAGAAGCGGGCTCCCTGCCGACCAGAGAGCCTGATGTGGGGCTGGATCCCAGGACCCTGAGATCATGACCTGAGCGGAAGGCAGAGGCTTAAACCACTGAGCCACCCAGATGCCCCAAGGAAAATTTTCTTTATAGAGAAATCACAGCTAACAAATATAAGAGATACAATAGAATTAGAAAATCATCATTTTGCAACCCACAAAACAATGGATCTAGGCAATGGTCAGCAATAGCTGCAATAGTTAGGCAGAACAGTTAAAAAAAAAAAAAAAGAACAAAATTGTGGAAAGAACCTAGATGTGCATCAACAGATGAATGGATAAAGAAGATGTGGTGTGTGTATATATATATATATATATATATATATATATATATATATAATGGAATACTATGCAGCCTTCAAAAAATATGAAATCTTGCCATTTGCAACAACGTGGATGGAACTAGAGGGTGTTATGCTGAGCAAAATAAGTCAATCAGAGAAAGACAATTTCATATGATATCTCTGATGTGAGGAATTTGAGAGGCAGGGCAGGGGTTTGTGGGGGTAGGGAAGGAAAAAATGGAACAAGATGGGATTGGGAGGCAGACAAACCATAAGAGACTCTTAATCTCAGGAAACAAACTGAGGGTTGCTGGGGTATGGCAGGGGGAGGGATAAGGTGGCTGGGTTATAGACATTGGAGAGGGTATGTGCTATGGTGAGGGCCGTGAATTATGTAAGACTGGTGATTCACAGACCTGTACCCAGAAGCACATGTAGGGAAACCTACACCTTCCATGTTTAAATCATTCCTAATTTCCTACGTAAAAGGAATGAAACATTTTATAATAGACAAGTCAGGATGAAAACACTTAGTCCATTGATAATCCTAACATCACTAAAAGTGAGACAACCAAATATGTACCTCCTGGCACAATACTATAGGAATAAATGACACTTCCTTATGAAGTAGCCTAAGTTAAAAAAAAAAAAAAAAGATAAAAACCTGAATCTAATTACTGTATCTATCAGTTATTCATATGCAAGGAGAGAGGACAGAGGAATATACTAACACCATGAAGATGAAATTTACCAAACCTAAGATGTGGGAAATTCTATAGGACAAATGACCAGATTTCTTTCAACAATTAAATATCATGGGATTTTAAAAAGAAGAGGGAATGAGAATGCTTTTACATTTAAAGAGACCCTAAGATGCGGAGAAAGGGGAACCCTCCTACACTGTTGGTGGGAATGCAAGCTGGTGCAATAACTCTGGAAAACAGCATGGAGATTCCTTAAAGAGTTGAAAATAGAGCTACCTCATGACCCAGCAATTGCACTACTGGGTATTTACCCTAAAGATACAAACGTAGTGATCCGAAGGGGCACGTGCACCCGAATGTTTATAGCAGCAATGTCCACAATAGCCAAACTACGGAAAGAACCTAGATGTCCATCAACAGATGAATGGATAAAGAAGATGTGGTATATATACACAATGGAATAATATGCAGCCATCAAAAGAAATGAAATCTTGCCATTTGCGATGACATGGATGGAACTAGAGGATATTGTGCTTAGCGAAATAAGTCAATCGGAGAAAGACAACTATCATATGATCTCCCTGATATGAGGAAGTGGAGAGGCAACGGGGGGGGTTTGAGGGGTAGGAAAAGAATAAATGAAACAAGATGGGATCGGGAGGGAGACAAACCATAAGAGAGAGGGGGGCTTGGGGGAGGGAGGGAGGGAGAGGGTGGTGCGGTTATGGACATTGGGGAAGGTGTGTGCTATGGTGAGTGTTGTGAAGTGTGTAAACCTGGCAATTCACAGACCTGAACCCCTGGGGCTCATAATGCATTATATGTTTATAAAAAATTTAAAAATTCAAAAAAAAAAAAAAAGAGAGAGACCCTAAGAAAAGGGGGGGGAAAAAAGTAGTTGAAAAGGAAAATTGATTGTTAATAAAAATACTAATACAGAGTGAATTAGAAAAAAAAAAAAAAAAGAAAGAAAAAAAAAAACCTTGAGAAGAGCCTTATATCCTTTTTAAACCAACAAATATTTGAAAAAAAATTAAATAACACAAGGTAGAATAAAATTAAATTCGATTAGAGCAAAATTTAAATCTTTGAGGATTCATGAAACCAATTAATCCTTAAGAACTATAATTAAATTTTATAGCTTGATTCCATTTAGGCTATAAGTCTAATTATATGGGAATTCTTTGCTTATTTTAAAGGTGAATTAAAAGGAGAATGTCAGCTCTACCACCTCAAATTTGTATTAGGAAGGAAAATTCCAAAATCATATCCAATAGCATGTACACTAACCCACAAATGCTAGTAAGGCTCAGTGCCCTGAAGGAGGGCTGAGAATAAGGGCCTTTCCCTTACTGGCCTTGCCTTCTTCTGGATGAAGCAGAGAGTAAAGAGTTACATGAGTGAATGAGATAATCCAGAGAGTGATGCATGCCAGGAAGAAGTAAATAGGTGGCTGAGATAGAGAATATGATTAGAGATGGCCTCTCTGAGGAGGTGACCTTTGACCTAACACCTAAAGCATGGACATAATTACAGAAGTTCTGAGGCAACCTAGAAGAACAAAAAGGAGGCCTGTGTGCCTGGAGCTGGGGAGTAATGGGAGAGTGGTGTGAGATGAGGCCCGAGCACTAAGT